GTTGCGGCCCGGAATTCCCGGGATTGGGGGTGGTTGTCCCGCCGGTTTCCTGCTCCCATCACATCAGCCATTCCCCGGCCTGTGTAACCTCAGTCCGGGTGATTCTTTATTTAGCCCTTCGCTAAATGCAGTATTTTGGGTGGTGGGCTCAGTGCCCAGCAGCCTGGTCCCCGCCCGGGATGGGCTCCCGTGATCCCGGGATTTCCGGTTTGCTTGGATCGAGCTTTGCTGCGTGTAACAACCGGGTCTGCTCCTAGAATGAGGCTCGGAAGCTGAATCACCAAGAAGTGGTGGAAGAGGATAAAAGACTGAAATTGCCACCAAACTGGGAAGCCAAAAAAGCTCGGCTGGAGTGGGAGCTGAAGGTGGAGGAGAAAAAGAAGGTAAAGACACAATTAATTCCAGCATTCCATAACCTTGTGGTGACACTGAGCCCCCCTTTGTGGTAGCCTGAAGGGGCTCCAGGAAAGCTGGAGAGGGACTTGGGACAAGGGCAGGGAGGGAGAGGACAAGGGGGGATGGATTAAAACTGGAAGATGGGATATTGAGGTTGGACATGAGGAGGAAATTCTTGGGTGTGAGGGTGGTGAGAGCCTGGCCCAGGTTGCCCAGGGAAGCTGTGGCTGCCCCATCCCTGGCAGTGTTGAAGGGCAGGTTGGATGGGGCTTGGAGCAGCCTGGGCTGGTGGGAGGTGTCCCTGCCCATGCAGGGGTTAGGACTGGGTGATCTTTAAGGTCCCTTCCAACCCAAACCATTCTGGGATTCTATGATGAGTGGAAGCTTATACAGGTGTCATTACCCCCACAAAATCTCTCACCTAATTAAGCTCTTGGTGATCTAAATTCTTGTCCTGCACTAGAGGTTGGCTGGACTTATCTAGGTAGTTACAGCCAAGTTTGATGCCTGACCACTGTCTTGTTAAAGCTGAGCTGTTCTGTGCTGTGTGTCAGGAATGTGCAGCCAGAGGAGAAGACTACGAGCGGGTCAAGCTGCTGGAGATCAGTGCTGAGGAGGCAGACAGATGGGAAAGGAAAAAGAAGAGGAAAAATCCAGACCTCGGGTTCTCAGGTAATGGCTTTAACAACCTCATTGTTGTAAGGAACAGTTTTGTTAGGATTTCAGCTGTAAATGGAGTGATGGACTTCACACAAGTTCCTTGTCTTGCCCAGATTACGCAGCCGCGCAGCTGCGCCAGTACCAGAGGCTGACCCGGCAGATCAAACCTGACCTGGAGGAGTATGAGAAGCTCAAGGAGCAGTAGTGAGTGCCTCATCTGGGGTATTTCAAACCCTGGGGACCTAAAGAAATCCCTTCAGCACATGCACAATTAGTTTTTAGCATGTTCAGCCTGGAGAAAAGGAGGCTGAGGGGAGAGCAGCAGGTCTGTGTGTAACTGCTGCTCCTGATTCTCTTCTGCAGTGGTGAGGCCCTTTATCCCACATCTGACAGTCTTCTCCATGGAACTCATGTGCCCTCTAAGGAAGGAATTGACAGAATGGTGGCAGATCTTGAGAAGCAGTAAGTAAACACCAAGATAATGTGTGTGACATGGGGAAGCTTTGTCATCAGGGCCACTAAGATGAAGGGGCTGGAGCATCTGCCCTGTGGAGAGGCTGGGAGAGCCAGGGCTGTTCAGCTGGAGAGGTGGAGGCTGAGGGGGGATCTGATCAGTGGTGGTCAGTATCTACAGGGGGTGGCAGGAGGACGAGTCAGACTCTTCTCAGGGGTGTCCAGTGACAGGACAAGGGGTAATGGGACAAAGTGGAGCACAGGAGGTTTAACCTGAATATTAGAAAATAGTTCTTGGCTCTGAGGGTACCAGAGCCCTGGGACAGGCTGCCCAGGGAAGCTGTGGAGTCTCCATCCCTGGAGACATTCCAAACCCACCTGGATGTGTTCCTGTGGGATCTGCTCTAGGAGGGTGTTGGACTGGATGATCTCCAGAGGTCCCTTCCAACCCCCACCACTGTGACGCTGTGAATCAAAGCCCCAGGCTCCCCCCACAGCTCTGCAGCTGCTGCTCTCTGTCCCCAGGATCGAGAAGCGTGAGAAGTACAGCCGCAGGCGCCCGTACAACGACGACGCCGACATCGACTACATCAACGAGCGCAACGCCAAGTTCAACAAGAAGGCAGAGAGGTTCTACGGGAAGTACACGGCCGAGATCAAGCAGAACCTGGAGAGAGGCACAGCTGTCTGAGCCCTTCTCTCCAGCCAAGCACAGCCCACAGCAGCTCTGCAGAGTTTTGCAGGTGATTTTCTAAGTTGTATCCAAAAATGCTTTGTAATTTGTAAAACCAACGGATATTCCATGTAGAAGTGATTTTCTGTACACAGCTTTTAGTTGTAGAAGTAACCAGCTTGTGCAGTGTCATCTTCTAAATAAACACAAACTCTCATCCCTCAATCTAGAATAAAACTTGTCTCTTTGTTCTTCAGTAGCTGAAGTCTGGTGAAGTTCCTGAAAACATGAGGCAAGATGAAAATGCTCGAGGAACATACCTGGAGCTCTTCCAGGGCAGCTCCTGGAATCCTCCTCAGGTGGGAACAGGGACCAGCTCAAGCATCAGCTTCTGATGCCACAAAATAAATCCTTAGTACATTTGCCCATCTCACCTCAGCCATTTCTTAAAAGAAGCTTCCAGACAAGAGGAGTCCAAGTCAGTTTATTTTAATAATAATAGCTATTTACAAAAATGAGTTAAACTGTTTCCAAAATCATGCAACTTACTTGCAGTACTTTTTCTTCATAAAGGTGGTGCTGAGCCATGAGCTAAGTGCTAACTGCTGGAGCTCTGGAAATAACCACTTCCAAGACAAAGGTGACAGCCACCAAACACAGGTCTAATACTTGACACATTAAGAAGCCAGTGGAAAACTAGACTTTATTTAAACAGTTACACAATGTAAATCAAGTGTTCAAAATAACAGCTATGGAACTATTTAGAAAAAGTTACCCACCTGGAGGTTCTAGTCCTTTAAAGAAATACAAAATATATACAAATATACACAAAATTCCCACCTGTGGCTTCTGGGTCTCTGCGCTCTACATCTGAAAGAGAAACTTAGGATTCCAAAATCAAGACCTCAATAAATACACAGTATTAACAAGTCTTCAACCTGATAAGGAAATTTCAGATCTCTCTACTGAAGTGTGTATAATCCTGCAGTCACAGACAGCAAGAAAAATCCACTAGCGGGCCCGGAATGGGGCACTTTTAGGTGAGAAGTTTAAAAATGTTTTCTTCTCCTCCTTCTTGACAGGAACCCACTGCCCATAGGGACTTCCCTTTCTGTCTTCTTCTCTTGCAGGAGAAACTGCTGGTTCTTTAACAACATGGCTCACTGTTTTCTGTAGGACTGTAGGTTTTGCCATGGTATTCTGAAAAAAGAAATCACCTTTCAAAATGGTAGAAGGAACATACTTAGACCTGCCACCTTCAAGGGGTTTATTTGTGCTGCTGAGACAAGTGTTTTCTTTTCAGCTTTTTAAGAGACCTCACATCTACCAAATATCAATTATCTACACTTATCTGACATGGGACCCAGTTGCTTTTTCCTTGGTTCTGCATTAGTAAAATATATTAAAATGTGTAACCTGAAGTAAGGTCTGTGTAAACCACTTCTGAGTCTATGATATTATTGTAAAAATATATTTGAAACACACTGGTGTGCTTAGAGTGCTCTACTGCTGAAATACTGATCCAGCTCACTCAGGTTTTTACTAGCAAGATCTTTAATTTGGCAACCAATGCTAGGAAAACCCTAACACAGAAAGGGTGAAGTGAAAGAATTCCAGCCTGGGAAATGATACTTACGTTAGGACTGAAAGAAATGCTTCTCTGTATGGCTGCTCGTTCCACTCCACCCTTGGTCATGTCTTCTGCCAGGCTTCTGGTCTCCTAGAGAGGAGCACACAGAGCTTTAGAGGGAGGACACATTATTCCCTGCACATTCAGGCAGTTACTAGAGTATGAACTTTCTGGTGGAGTTGTTTCAGGTATTTACATCAAAAGTAGCTGTAAGCTACTAAATATGCAAACAGATAAAGGTTGAACTTGCTTTGCAAAGCAGTCAGTATTTTGATCCATGTGCCAATTCATGTGTGACCTGATATCCATGCCCCAGTTACAAACAGGATTCCAAGGATCCCAAGCATGGAATGCCATACAATGAAGTGCAGTGGTCAATTGCATTAAGTTCTGCATGTCTGTCCTGCAGAGCTTTGGATAATGACAATAAACTTATCTGCAAGTGATGCAGGCCTCTTCTTCTGTACTCTCTCAATATCTGGAATATATTGCATATATTATGAAAGGGATGCCTGGACCATTCGGCTAAAACCCTTAGTAAATTTACTTCCATTTGAAATAGCACCTGATCCTTGTCACAGAAACAGCAGTTTTGCATTTACCAGGTTAACACACCAGAACAGAGCCAAACTAAAATTCAGTTTAAGCTGCTCAAGTTTCTCCCTCCCTTAAATTCACAGCAGCTACAGCCCACAAGTCCCTTCATTACCAACAGATTTTCTTCATCATGTCTGGAACCATAGTCATGATTTCTATAAGACAGAAATAAAGTATGTAAAATGCATTGTGTGCTTGGGTATGTAATTTCTGGGAAACAAGTTTGTTGCATATGGAAAAATTTTAACAGTTTAAAAAAAATGGTAGAAAGATATAAGCTTTAAGAAACCCCACACAAGTCACTAGGTTTGGTTAAGGAGACTCCCTGTTTTAGGTCAGAAACACAAACTAATTTTAAGTAATGGGCAAGAAAGTCAACTCAAAAGAATAAATGACATCCAGCTCTCCTTCCCAGCCTGGCACTACTGGAAAGCCTGCCTGGACTCAGGAGCCAACCACCTCCAAGGAGCCCACAGAGCTCTGAGCTTAACACAGGGTCTACAGTGGTTTCTAGAGCAGGTTTTAGCATTTGTGGGTTTGAATTCACATCACAAAGTCCACAGTTAAAAACTAACACATCCATGCAGACAAGTTTTCAGAAGTGTTTACCTTTTCATTGAGACCACTCCAGTTCATACTTACCTCAGCTGACTCTCCAGCAGCTTCATGCTCTTTTTTTTCATTTTTTATCTCTTTGGAAGGAGTAAGGATCTTCAAGCTTGCTGGCAAGACTATGTTATCAGTCCCCAGAGCTTTTGCAGCATTAGCTTTTGCAATTTCCAGAAGCTCCCTCTTCTCTGTAAGAAAAAGTCACTCTTACGTTTAATATACACCTACTCGCACATACCCAAAACCTGCAGGTTTACTATCACTACACCTATCTAAGAATTAACTGTTACTAATTTTTATCACAACTTGGTAGATTAAGCTCCATCTGAAGTGCTAAGAATATGCTCTGAACTACTTCACCTCTTTTTAATATGTTTTTACAACCCTGAAGATTTCCTTCCCCATTGCTATGATCAGTTATGTTCCATAAAAAAAGTAGAGATGGTAATTTGACTGCTTAAAATATAAATGTTTTGAGGTTGTCACACAATTTAAGTCTCAAAAAACCCAACAAACCCCAAGTACCTTTTTCACTCAAATGGAGAGGTGACCTACTCCGGGATCTTGATCGGGACCTGCTCCTCCAGCTCCTGTAAACCTCAGGATAGATGGTTCTCCCAAATCCATAGTATCTCCAGCCTCTGGAACGGGATCTGCTTCTTGAATAGGACCTTCTGTAGTAAGATCTTCCACGAGACCACGACCTGCTGCGTGACCTGTACCTCGGAGGGGAGCGGTGGTACCTCCGGTAGTGCCTGACACGGTACCTCCCTCGGTACCTCCCGTGGCCACGGGACCTGGAACGGCTTCTGGAGTAGGAACGAGAATATCTCCTGTGCCTCCTGGAACTGTTTCTTCTGGCCCATGACCTTGATCTGGATCGGCTCCAGCTCCTGGAGGAAGCTGAGGAGGAACTGCTTGAACTGGACTCTGAGCTGCAAGAGGATCTGCTGGATGACCTTGTTGATGACCTATCACAACTTCTCCTGGATCTCAAAGAAGTTTCTCTCTTCTTCGGTGAGCTGAGGGTTAAGTCATCCATGAAGCCTGTCATGTCATCGGTTTTCTTCACCACTGTTTTCTCCACGCTGTTACTTTCAGAAGCTGGTTCTGTTTTTGTTGTTCTACAATAGCCAGTCTCTGTTCCTGAAAAGGGTGGGAAGGGGGAAGCTGGTAACTCTTCTAAGTCATTTACACAGCAACAACAAACATTATGACACATGGGCACAAAACTGAAGCACAATTACAACTGGCAATTCTTATCCAGTTAATCAGCATGTTTTGCAGATGACAAGTATCAATTTCCTCTCCTGTAGTCAAGTGTTCTAGATGAAATTGTAAAGGGCTTTGGTTTAAACCATGATTAATTCTGTGTGGAATTTAGAAGACAGGTTGGTTTGTAGGGCTTTTGAATTTAAAACCCTTAATTTGGTAGGTAAGCACACACTTCTTGACAATACAAGTGACACCTTTCCTTTTTCTTCTCCAAACAGAATTTAAGGTATTTTATCCTCAATCCATTTTAAATGCTGCAGGTTGCATCTACAATGCAAAATAAGCATTTGCTGTTTTCCTCCAAGATATGAAAAAAAATTAAATAAAGTACCATCAAGGTACAAAGGAACCACTTTAAGATCTTGACCATACATTAATAAACTACCAGCACAAAATCCCACACATCCCATTAGTGCACGTAGTGAGTTGCTATTAAAAGAATTCACTTAGCTAGTGAATAATACAGCTAATGATTTACTGGATATGACCTGTAAAGGGTGTAACACTTCTAAAGGTTATATATTAATAATTAAAATGGCTGTCCCTCTGTACTGGCAGCCATTTTATATTTACAAAGTCTACTATAACCTGGGGTGTGACTTCCTTATCGCCAGTACTTACACCCTGAGGCACCACTTGACAGTTTCAGGAAACTTGCTTTACCACAAAATTTGTACCCAGCGCTCACTGCAAACCGAAGTTACCAAATAAATCTTAAAATCCTAGTGAAGGGTACTACGTCCTACACCAGTTTGCAAGGAGCCACTAGCGAAGTTTCATTCCTTCACCTCTAAACAAGGGCCAAGGTCACCAGCGCCCTACAGGGCACAGCTGAGAGGAAACAACTGATGAACTGTGATCTCAACCCCACCCTCCGGCCGCTGAGCTCCCAGGACAGCTCTGCCCCCACCGCCGGA